GGAGCCGAACTGAGGTATCCTATAGCTGAGAAAGCAGCTTTAGCAGTCATCACTTCGGCCAGAAAGTTGAGGCCGTACTTCCAGTCGCACCCGATCATTATTCTTACAGACCAACCCCTTAGGCAGATTCTGCAAAAGCCTGAGTGTTCTGGAAGATTAATTAAGTGGGCAGTAGAACTGGGGGAGTTTGAGATAACATTTCAGCAGAGATCTGCAATCCGAGCTCAAGCACTGGCTGATTTCATTGTAGAGTGCACTCCAGGTAATTCCATTCCTACTCTGGAGCCCAATGACTGGACCTTATATGTTGATGGGGCATCTAGTAGCATAGGTTCAGGAGCTGGTGCTCTCTTAATTGGCCCAGATGGATACCGAAGTGAACATGCTCTGAAATTTAACTTTGATGCAACAAACAACATGGCTGAGTATGAAGCCCTGCTACTGGGTCTGCAGCTAGCCTTGGAATTAAAACTCAGTGCGATCCAAGTATACAGCAACTCTCAACTGGTGGTGAACCAAATTAACTCAATTTGCGAAGTTTTTGATCCTGTGATGGTGAAATATGTAGCTCTGGTGGCGGAGCTGAAGTGCAAATTCCAGAAATTCTGTTTGAGCAAAATTCCCCGAACTGAGAATGAACAGGCAGATTCACTCTCTAAAATCGCCTCTGATAGTTCTTCACATCCCAGATCAGTTTTTGTGGAGGTCTTAGATGAACCAAGCTTCGTGAAGCCGCGGGTGATGGAGATCAGCACCAACCCAAGCACACCGAGCTGGACTGACCCAATCCTTTCATTCTTACGAGATGGGATAGTACCTGAGGACAGGCAGGAGGCAATGAAGTTGAGGAGGAAAGCATCCCGGTATACACTTGTTGATGGGGTTCTCTATAAGCGATCTTTCTCTCTACCTCTTTTACGGTGCTTGAATCCCTATGAAGTAGAATATGCACTCAGGGAGGTACATGAAGGTGTCTGCGGAAGTCACGTAGGTGCTCGAACTTTGGCTCATAAAGTCCTTAGACAGGGTTATTATTGGCCAAACAGGTACAAGGATGCCACTCACTTTGTTCAGAGATGTTTGAAATGCCAATTCTTTGCGCACCTGACTCACCAGCCTGCAGAAGAGCTCACTACTCTGGTAGCACCATGGCCATTTGCTCAGTGGGGATTGGATCTTTTGGGACCATTCATAAAAGGGGTTGGTGGTGTAACCCACTTAATTGTTGGTGTAGATTATTTCACAAAGTGGGTTGAAGCTCGGCCGTTATCCAGTCTTACTTCCAAGAAGGTTGAAGACTTTGTTTTTAGCTCAATTATCTGTAGATATGGGATCCTGAATCAGATTGTGGCTGATAATGGAACTCAATTTAACTGCACCTCTTTTCGAGATTTCTGTTCCAGCTACGGGATTAAACTGCAGTTCACCTCGGTTTACCATCCAGAGTCCAATGGCATGGTCGAATCTGTTAACAAGTGCATCTTAGA